GGGGGGGAGGGGGGGGAGTAAAAAGAACCAGAACTTGAGCGATGGTTTGTAGGTCTGTCTAGAAAGCAAAGCAGAGTTTAAATTACAAAGTTAAGAAAAAAATCCAACAAAACTCCTGCTTAAAGACAGTGCTGTGCTTCTTTTATGAGACTCACTATGTTCCATCTGGATTTATATCTTTTCTATGACAAGTGTTCTCTCCCTTCCTAGGTCATAAGTCTTGAGAGCAGAACAATCTTTTAACTTGTTTTTCTCCTGAGTCCCTCCCCACTTCCAGCACCTAGGTTTTTCAAGCTTTCAATGAATTAGGTTCTAAATAAGTCCTATAAATTGATATTGATTTGAATTCTACTGACTGGCACTAATGCCCTTGCTGATCAGGGTACAAGAAAAAAAGAGGCTTCATTTAAAATCTCTGTCTTTTGTCCCTTCCTGCTTTCTAAGAATAATTCATTTTTAAATAAACCTAAAAATTTTCAAAAGAAAAGTAGTATTTTGCAACACATAAAAATCCTATGAAATCCAAGTTTTAGTGTCCATCAAGAACATACACACAGACACTTCTGCAACCTTTGGTGAGCTGAACTCAGCTTTCCCTTTCTCATCCACAAAATAGGAAGAACAGTAGCCCATACCTCTGAGGGTTGTTCTGAGGCGTAAATGAGCAAATGAAAATAACGTGCTTAGTATAGTGCCTGCCCGTGTTTATGGTGAATACACTATAAATGCTGTTGTCTCCATTGCTATTGTCTTTTCTCCTACAGGGGGACCTTCAGGGGATAAAAGCTAAATTCCAAGAGAAGTATCAGAAGTCCCTCTCTGACATGGTTCGCTCAGACACCTCTGGGGACTTCCAGAAACTGCTGGTAGCCCTCTTGCACTGAACCAAGCCAGAGCAGTAGGAGCGCAGGGAGGAACCATCTTTGTCAAGAGCCTGTTCCAAACCAGATTTGCAAATGTGACTCCAGCACAAAAAACCTTCAAGAGTCCTGGTTTATTTTCTTGGCAGCTTCAGGAGTGAAGCCAGGCCAGGCTGTTTAAGTCAGAGACAGTGGCCTCGAGATGCTTGGGCAGGTCACCCTTGAACGCTGGCTTAGCAAGTATCTGGGCTGCCTCTTAACTTTCCTTTAGCATGGTAACTGAATGCTTTATCAGCACAAATGAAATCAGCAGTTGATAAAAAAAACTATCCATTTGTAATAAAACATTTAGAAGGACATATATCGCACAGGGGTGTGTGTGTTCTGGGTAAAGATTGAATGATTAAGGTACAGGGAAGACAAAATTAACCAATTCATTAATTTTCTCCTGTGTGTTCAATTTCAAAGCCTCAATGTTAATTAAAATTGTGGATTATGCTTCCATCAGCTGCTTTTCTAAAGACTGGGTTGATTAGTTTTGGCTCTTGTCCTAGAAATACATGACTTGTGAAACTCAAACATATTTGAGAAACACGCAGTTATATTTATTAATGATCATCAAGGCCAGCAGCAAGGAAACAACTGACTCGCCTACGAGAAATCTAACCAGAGGTAAAATCCACTACCTGGTTTAAATGATTTCTTGCTCCTGTAGACATTTGTCCCATTTGAGTCTTCCATCTGATCTTCAAATACAATTAGACTGGGCACAGTTCCAATAGGATCAAGGTCAATGAGCTGACTCTTAAATGAACTGGTTCCGCACCAAAAGCATCTCTGTTCTAAGATGATTGTTTCATAGCCACATGTTGCTAGACATACAGGGGTCTTCAAGAGAACATGGACACTTTGTCCAACAATTATAGTTATCATTCATTGAATGATTGTGTCTGGCATACTTCCATATTTAATCTTCCTAACAGCCCTATGAGGTTAATATTACTCCCGTTTATCAACTGAGAAAACTGAAACATTAAGTAATCTAGCTAAATTCACTTGCAAGTGATAGAGTTGGGATTTGAATTCAGGACTGGTTGACTCCAGAAATCATATGGCTAACTGCCTTTCTTGGAAAAAATAACACAAAGTGCATAGTAATGGGTCTGTATTCATTCACCTGCTTAATTCCCTACTATCTGCCAATCACTGTGTTGGGCTCTGGATACAGAGATAAGTAGAACATTGGCCATGCCTTAGTCGGTTCACTCCCAGGCCAGTAATAGAGACAGATGCCTCCAATATTCAACAGAATGCTGTAAGTACATGAATACTGGCATGTAAAGCTCTTTACCCATGAACAAGAAGAGGGAATGGGCAGTTCTGCCTTGGGTAACTGGGGAAGGATTCAAAGAGATACATTTGTGTTGGGTTTTGAAGAATGCATAGAAGGTCTCCAGAGAAACAAAGAAAGAAGGGCATGGGCAGAGGCTCAGAAGCATCAAGGAACCCAATGTGTTTAGGAAGCAGTGATATCCATTCTCCTGGGGCAAGGACATAGTGAAAGGAAGGAGAGGGTTGGGGAGGCAAGGATGCAGCTGCCAAAGAGTTTGCTTAAATCACGTTAGCAATGGTTTTGCTTGCCAAGCGTGGGCCTGATCCTTTGGGCAATGGTGGTCACTGGAGATGTTTAAGGGAGGAACATTTGGGCCTTGGGAAATCACTTTGGTTGTGTAATCAATGTATATAGCAAATAGCCCAAATGCTCAGTATAAGACTGCATGTCATGGTGTGTTTTTGTAGAGGCTATAAAGTGGTGATTAACAAATTAAGAAGTTATGTTCACATTTGTGTTCTCAATATACTGAGTAATGTGTCTCTGCCCCATCAGTGTGGAGTCTGGCTTCTCCAACAGCAAGAGACCAATGCACAGGACTCCTCCAGGCTGCAAACAAACTATGTCTCAGACCACATTACAGCCAATAAAAATGCCTCAGATAAGCTCCCAGAAACTAGATAAGCCAAGAAATAAGGATGCCATAAAATCACATGTGGTATTCAGCTCTCCATATCCACAGGCAAGAGCTGCCATGCTAAATTCAGAGAGATCAGAGAGAAGTCAAGGCTGACTGTTTGTGACACTGCAATTTCTTGCATGACCAGGACATAAGATGCAGAGCAGAATGTTGGGAGACATAGGGTCAGGACAAAGAAAAGCAGACAGGGGAATTTTTCAAATAAACTTTTTATTTTTTTATTTTGTCTTATTTCTATAAATTTTGGCTTATAATTATAAGTTACAATTATATCACAGAGAGTTCCCATATTCTCCAATCCCAGTTTCCCATATCACTAACATTAATATGGTACATTTGTCACGACTTATGAACTAATGTTGATAGATAAAAATTGAGTAAAGCCCATACTTTATTCACATTTCCTTAGTTTTTACCTAATGTTGTTTTTCTGTCCCCAGTTCCCAAATATCACATTAGATTTAGTTGTTATGTCTCTTTAGGCTCCTCTAGACTGCAACAGTTTTTCAGACTTTCCCTGTTTTTGTTGACCTAGGCAGGTATTCTGTGGAATACCCTTCAGTTTGGGTCTGTCTGATGTTTTTCTCATGGTCAGACTGGGGTTATGGGTTTGGGGGAGGAAGCGCCATTCCCATCACATCATATCAAGGGGACATGCTATCAGCATGACCTATCACTGTCGGTGTTGATCACCTGGTTCGGTAGAGTTTTGTTAGGTATCCCCACTGTGCTCATTAAAAGGAAGCCACTGTGTACCACTCACACTGCAAGGTTAGGGAGTTATGGTCTACCTCCTTGAGTGGGGAATTTTATATAAATTATTTGGGATTCTTTTGTACAGTAGGTTTGCCTGCTCTCCTATTATTCATCTATTCAATAATTTACTTATATCAATATAGACTTATGAATATTTACTTTGTACTTTGGCTTATAATCCAATACCATATTGTTTATTTTGTTGCTCAAATTGTTCCAGTTTTGTCTATTGGGAGCTCTTACAGTTTGCTCCTGTGTTCCATGGACACACCCATTCACTTTGCTTTTGAGTCCTTAATTTCTGACACTACAAGATGTTCCAAGCCCATCTTGAATATTCTCCTCCCAAGTTCTAAAATCTGCCATTTGTCCAAGGTGCCCTGGTTCCTTTTGTTGAATAATGGTATTAGAAACCAAGATCTGGGTGCTGGGTGTGCTCATTGTTACTGGGGTGTCATTGCTTCTAGGCCCACTCAGTGGACAGAACTAGAAAATATAGGTGTGTATACTAAACCATATATCACATATATCTATATTTATATATATATGCAGATAGATGACATATAGATAGAGGTATAGATATAGGTATTGATGTAGGGGTAAGCATAAACATAGATCCATCTGAATCTATATTAAGTTAAACATGAGCTTATATAATGTCTTCAACTTTCATCCAGTACCACCTGGTTCATGCTAGAAGGGGGATTTTGACTTATTGAAAACAACACAAGGAGACAAGATAGCAGAAGAGAAGGTCCTAGCAATAGGAGCCATGGGAAGAATCAAAGCAAACCACAAGACGCCCTGCTTGCACCACTGATTGTATTTCCATTTTGAATGGCAGAGTTTGTGCCAGGTCTGGGGAGAAAGGGCAGGCCATGGTCAAGTGGTCCGCGGACCTCCACTACCTGGTACCGAAGGAATTGTCCTTAGGTTTCTATGAGAATGTTCCATGGCTTCTTTGTGACTAAACTAGAAATACTGATGTCTTCTGTTCCAAAGGTAACCAACTTTCAATGTACTCAAAATACATTCAGCCAAGACTAATACAATGCAAGCGAAAGGAAAAGAAAGACCACCTTCAATGTAAGAATCGAGACAGTGGGTTTTCATGTCAGCCTCTTCTTGTTCGTGATTTTTGGTCCCCAATAACTGTCACTTCAGGATTGCTTAGAGCAATGATATCTCAGGACAAAATAGGCCTGAGGCATTTTTAGGCTCCAGAAGAAAAAAGCATTGGTTTGAATCATTTCTCACTGTGAGTTATGTGGACTGGATAATATGACTCACAAACCAAAATGAACACACTAATTGGCTGAACTCTGAACCCAACCCAAATATTAACTTTTTTTTTTAACTGCACTGAAAACAAAATCAAAGCGGTTGTTTTTAAAATTCTACTGAACCAGTTCAAATCGGAACCAGTCTTTGGAAAATGTTGAGCCAGAAGGAAAAAGAATCAGAAAAGCAAAATCTTTCCACACAAGTATTCCATTCACTTCAAGTGCCTGGCACATACAAATATGCACTGTGTGTGTGTTTTTATTAGTAGGACCTCCTTTAATCGAATCTCACTTAACCTACTTGACATATTATCCAACACGCCCCATCCTCTCTACAGTCTGCTTATTGGTGTATGTATGTCCTTGATGCTCTGAAGGCTAGAGGCTGGGAGGGGACTGACTAGGAAGCCCTCTCCTAGTGGCTCATGCATTTTGCAAGAGTGCATTGTATTTATTCCCAAATGTATTTATACATATTGTACTCACTATTGAAATTGCATAATTTAATTAAGCATTCAACAAGCCGATTAACCAAAAATGCAAAAGAAAGACTTCTTGTTTTTCTGAAAGCTAAATTGAATGCCCTGGGAAGACTAGGAAAAGATGTGTTGCATTTAAAATAGAAAGGATAAATGATAACACTGAATACCCATCGGTGGCTCGTTTGCAAAGAAATGTTCTTAGCAAATCAATATGCATTTGAATGCTTCATGTGAAAAATAAAAGGATGTATGTTTTAGTGTAATGATGTTCCTCTTTCAGCTTAAATATACACTCTGATTGCCCTTCTCAAGTGTATCAGATAAAAGGGTTTCCACTGAATACACATCTTTTCTCACTTCTGAAACATTAATTTGTCTATGATGATTGCACAGGTTTTTCTTCTGCTCAAAGAGCTCGGAGGAATCGCTATCACCTGCTGCATCTCCCGGTATCTAACCCTCCATTCACAGGCTGTCACTTTGGGAAGCCACCTTTCTCTCCTAAGACTCAGTTTCCCCATCATGTAAAATGGGGTGATAATAGTTCAGAAGCTCCCCTACTTAAGGACCAAAAGCAAAAGCGCCTCCATAGATGAAAACAACAACACCTCCACGACAAACAGGGCAACACTGCCTGCTAACAAGAGATGTTGTTAGAGGT